CTCCAGTCTTCAGTGTCACATGATCCTTCAGAAATCATTCTAATATGCTGATTTATAATCAATGTTGGAAACAGTTGTGCTGCTTCAGGTTTTTTGGAACCTGTGATACTTTTTTTCAGGATTCTTTTATGAATATAAAATGTAAAAAAAAAAAAAACAGCATTTATTCAAAATGTAAATCTTACAATATACACTACCGTTCAAAAGTTTTTTTTTTCTTTCTTTTTTTGAAAGTAATGAATACTTTTATTCAGCAAGGATGTGTTACATAGATGAAAAGTGATAGTAAAGACTCATATGGTTAGAAGAGATTTTAATTTTAAATAAATGCTGTTCTTTTTTAAACTTTTTATTCATAAAAGAATCCAGAAAAGTTTCCAAAAAAAAAACAAAAAAAACATGAAGCAGCACGACTGTTTCCAGCACTGATAATAAATCAGCATATTAGAATGATTTCTGAAGGATCATGTGACACTGAAGACTGGAGTAGTGATGCTGAAAATTCAGATTTGATCACAGAAATAAATTATAATTTAAAGTATATTAAAACAGAAAACCAATATTAGAAATTGAAATAATATCTCACAATATTACAGTTTTTTCTGTATTTTGATCAAATAAATGCAGCCTTGATGAGCACAAGAGACTAAAAACATAAAAAATCTTACTGATCCCAAACTTTTGAACGGCAGTGTATATGCGCACTCACTTAAGCAAATACACAAAACTTTGCATCTCATAAATCAATAAGCTATTGGATTGCCTTATTCCAGAATCTCATTTGGATTCACTTACATAAGAAATGCATGAGGAATACATATGAGATATTGATAGCAGGGAGCAATTATGCCGTGAAAAAATATCAGCGGCATAAACATAGGCACGTCCAAGGAGTTCACTGTTATTAAAACAGTAAAAATCTTTAAATCTATTAAAATATTTCATATAAAGATCACATTAAAACTGTCTTACCAAAAAATATTTTAAATGCCTTTGTTCATTTTTGATACTTTTTTCAAATATATTTTATGCATTTGTTTTATTCTTGATCCTGACTTTCAGTATTAAACTATGAACATCTATGAAAATAAATACACACATGACAAGCAGTGATGCCAATTCATAAATATTAAAAAGATAAAGGAAGTATGATGTCCGCACTTCTGTGGACTTCCTGTTACCTCTGCACAGCAAAGTGTGACACTACAACTCTGGCTCAAGCATCCTGCCCTCACAGATACACGGACGCTCACACTTGTCTGTTCATGCAAACACACACACTCTCGCACATACACAGACACAAACTGTTTTGGAAGCATGGAATAAGAGACTCACTGTTCCTGATGTTGTGAGCGATGAAGTCATGAGTTCAGGTGCCCAGAATCACACTAGGGACAGTGAGAGGCCCCCGGTACGAGGAGAATCGCTCTGGCTCGTTATATAACAACTCAAAGTACTGATATAATGGAGAGTGAGAGACATGCAAGAGATTCACTGTTTCCTTCTTTGTTTCTGAATCCTGCAGAAGCCAGACAAAAATCTTGTTAAACTTTATTCAATTAATTTGACCTGAAATTGATGCATTTGTAATGTGTTTACTGAATAGTACAAATATATATTATAATGTATAAAAAGTGGTTTAAATAAAAATTGTATGCGTCTGAATCTGAATATATTGCATGAGAATAAACATTCTGAGGTTTGATAAATCAATGTTTAAAAATTAACATAAATATGCCATTTAGTCTCTCAATTAAAATGAGGCATTAAGAGCCGATGCTATTTTACTATCATTGATTACTATTATAGTTTTTATTCATTCTTTAAATTATTTGTATTTTAGTTTTAGTATTATATAAAAGTTATTTTATTTTGAAGTGTTAGTAATTTTGTTGTGTTCATTTGTGGGGGGTTTTCTTTTTTTAAATATCATACTTTTTTAAATAATACATTTTTATTTCAGTTTTAGTTTGTTATTTTAGTACAACAAGTTAAACTAAATGGCAATGGGAAAGGTTACAGATGATATATTTTATTTCAATTATTATATTTCAAATAGCTTTTTTTATAGTTTTACTATAATAACCCTGATAAGAGCAGAATATACAATAATAATTACGTATAAATGAATTAGTAAAATTTGGTGTACATATTAACTTCCTAAAAAATATTTAATGCCATCTACTCCAATAGGACCTAATGTAATAAATAAAAACAAAATAATGTGATGCTGAATATTTAGAATGTTCAGTAAAGGTAAACAAGCTCTGAAGAAAAGCTGTCCACTTGTGCAGTCTGTCACTGGAAGGCAAATCCAGACTGATTTCATTTCTCGAACTCTTGTGTAAGACACTGGAAGAATCTCTCACAGACTGACATTTCCAATGAGAAGATGTCCAAGTCTCTCATCTGTATGTGTGTTACTGCGTGTATCTATACTGCTGCTGGAGTGTCAGAGCAAACACCAGTGACTGACTTCAGTAATGAGATTATACTGCGCTTGTCAATCATCATCATCAGGCCTCATGCTGAAGAAGAACTAGACTGGATATTGTTTGTGAAATAATCAGTACTTATTACTTTTGGATGGACTGAAATCACAAAGTCTGTACATGTATTTTCCATTCACAAAGACTGCTGCTGCACTATTATTTAAATTAATTGTTTTCCATGGAAGTCAACTATCATGCTATCAGCCATTTCAGATAATCCGGCTCCAAATGTACAAAATGAGAGCTGGGCTCTTTACATGTCTGTCAGGTCATCTCATCCCATCTAAGTGGGTGATTCTTGGCCAGATTAAGTGGCAACATGAAGAAGACAAAAGTCAAAATTAGTACTTACATGCTAAGCATCAACTTGAAGATAAACTGCAGAAAACCGTTAGAAATAATTTCTCCTTCTGCAGAAATGCTGAAAGGCAAGTAGTCACAAAAAGTCATCTAATTTAAACAGAGAGCAGACAATCATAAGAAAATAAACATTTTCTGGAGTTATTTCACACTGAAGAAAGCTAAATAATGCTAGATCTCTTATAGAAGGAATACAAGCGACCCAACTTGATTTAATTCTTGGGTAAAATGAAGAATTAAATTAAATTAAATTAATTAAATTAAATGTCATAATTTTATCTTTTATTTTTTAAATTATGGCAGGATCACTGACGTCACTTACATGTCCTAGAATATACAAAAATATTGCATATTTTAATATTAATGTGCAATTGTGCATGAATATGAATAACCATACAATGTTAGTGCATGTAAATGTGGTCAATGTGTGTATGTAAAAAGGGTTAAAAATAAATTAACTAAAATTGAACAAAAAAATGTAATTAATAAAATAAAAAATACATGAAATACTAAATGAAATTAAATACATGTAGATAAGAAGTAACATAAATTAAAAGTACAAATATTCATGTAAAATGAAGAATAATATAATGAAGAATAAAATAAAATAATTACATATCACAAGATCAAACTGAAAAAAGTATGATTACCAAAAGCACCTAAGTCGAAATTGAGACAGATGCATAAGAATCAGATAAAGAGCAAGTGTGCATATGAGAGAGAGAGAGAGAGAGAATAAAAGACAAACAAACTAAACAAAATTAGATATGTTTCCTCGGTAACTAACTGAAATAAATTTAAAGCAGTAAAATTACAAACTGGAAATAAATATTCAAACTAAATCTACAACTAAAAAATCAATCAATCAATCAATAAAAAATAAATTTAAATAGTAACATTTTTGTGAAATCGTAAGATCTTGCTTCCATTGAAGCCCAAGATCAGTGTTGCTATTGTTAACTAATTATTAAAAACAGTTAACTAATAAAAAATAACTATTAAAACTGCTTTCAGTAATTGAAATAAAACTGAAATAAAATATACATTTTAGATAAAACAAAACACAAAAAAAAACTTTAAAAACTTACAAAACTAACAGAATAACTAATGTTTACTAAAACCAAAATTGAAATAAAAATAAACTGAACTTAAATAGTAAATGTAAAAAAAGAGAGAGAAAATAACTACAAATTAAACTGAAATTCAAATGATAACTAAAAAATATAAAAGCTGAAAGCTAATTCAAACTATTAATAAACACTATAATGGAACATAAATAATACTAAGATAACACTGAAACTAAAACACTGTCTTTTCTCATAAAGAGCAAAGAATTCTTGGTTCACATTACAGTATATTCTTCCATTGCCTGGCAACTGTAAATAGTCTAAAGCTAATGAACGGTATTGTTTTGTGTCATGAACATCCCTTACCTGTGATAAATTAATGTAACGGCTTCATGTGGCTAATTGCTTTGTGTTAAGGCGAGATTATAGTCAAAATCTCCAGAGGAACATTCAGTCAAAGTTTTGTCATTAGTACAAACATCTTGATCTGTTTTTCTTGACTGAGTCGTTCTTTATTTTCAGTCTCAACAGATTTAGTCTGAGATTAAATTAAACAACCTAGAATTGATCTGAGTAAAATATATGCAGTATAACATCAGTGTATGGCATAGCTGATCGGTCATGCTATTTAATATTTCAACAAAACAAAAATAATCAAATTGAAGTGCTAAAAATAATGTTTTGTAATGAATTAAATGCAGATATTTGACCAACAGTGTGAATGGAGTTCAGTGTACGTGTTTATGTACAGTATTTCTGACCGTTTCTACATCTTCTACATGTGGGATGCTTCATTTATAATTCAACAGCATGTGAATGTTATTGCTCCCAGAATGCTTTTCTACAGCCTATAGAGAAGTCTATTTACTGCAGGTGTCAAGCAGGGGATACTGTAAAAGTCTAAGCGAGATATTATGCCTGAAACATACAGTACTCCACAGATGCTTCAGCTATGCAAGCCTGATTTTATGTGTCATCTACATGTGTCAGAGCACAATCCAGAAGACAAATGCATGCATGCATTCTGCAGTGGGCGCTATAGCATGCATTAGCATAAACTGACATTTGCCCGGCCAGAATCATGGTACAAGAGAAAGTGGCACAACCGTTTAGGGAATTCTTTCTGTATGTGTCTTGTACGTTGATTTAAATCTCATGAGCCTTAAATACACACAATAACATAAGTAACACTTCTACACTGCTGTTGCTTGAGACTGATTTGTGAGTCTTTCGTTCATAAGTCGGACTACACTGATCACGCTGTATGATGTTATTGCGCTCAGTATAGTGAGGACTAAATAGGGATGTTTTCCACATCTAAAAATGACTACATATCTTCTTTTTTATCTACATCTTTAATTGTTCTCAGTTATTTTATAAAAGGATTTTTTTTTTTAAATTGTTTTATTGCTTACTTTTGCCAACACTTCAGTATTAATAAATGTGTGAATGTCCAACACTTCATTTTGGGGTTTCAGAGACCCCTTGCATGAAATATGATTGCAATAAATATTCACATACTAAGACTATCTGCTCTCACTGTAGCAATACTACAACCAGTTTGTGCATCACATGACATGTAGGCAAGGAGGAGCTTATATGCATGAACGTTTTATCTGGGGCACCATAAATTGTACTGGACTCACTGCAGGTAGGCAAGTTTCTCACACGTCATCCCTCTAAACGGCTTCATAACCACGTCCTCTTACATCTAGAAACAGAGTTTACATGTAATGTTTGTGAAATAGTGAAAAACAATTCTAAACAGCAGAGAAGAGAAATAGCAGCGCTCTCTGAAGCACACAGCACTCATTCAGCAAACCTCTTCTGCTCACCAAGACTGCATTTATTGGATCAAAAACAGTAAGAACAGTAAAAACAATGAAATATTATTCAAATTTAAATAACTGTTTCCTATTTGAATATATTTTAAAATGTAATATATTCCTGTGATGCAAAGCTGAATTTTCAGCATCATTACTTCAGTCTTCACCATCACATGATTCTTCAGAAATCATTTATTATATTGATATTAAGCAAAACAGGTCAAACTAAAACGCCATTAAACTCCTCATATTGTAACGTATGAATATTACAACACTCAAAAATGTACTCACCCTGATGTCCTTCCAATCCTGTATTTCTGTCATTGTTTATATAGGACTTTCATCTTCATGCAGCTATTTTTCATTGATGAATCACACAATAAGACCAGGAATGTGCACGAGAAAGTAAATAAATAAAATGTTTTCATTTCAAAGATTTTCAGAGTATAAAAGTCTTGCAGATAAGGGGAAAAAAACTCACTTTAACTATCAAGTCCCCAAATCCCCAGCCAAAAAAAGAAAGAGATTATCTGCATGAACCAACTGGATTCCTCTTTGTTTTTCCCAGACAGTTTGGTTGCTCCGGTGAACGTGTCTATCAGAGATCTAAAGGGCAGCTCTGCTGTGGTCACATGGGACATCCCAGATGGGGAGCCAGTCATCGGCTTTGCCATCACACAACAGGTAACCGGAACATAGAGGGAGAGAAAAGTCACATACTCAGCACTCTCTATTTGTATGTTCGTTCGAAATCATCTGTTTAAAGTGAAAAGTGAAGAGAAGGCTTTTGGTTAAATACTGTTGTATCTATCAATAACAGAAAAAAGACGTTCGCATGCTGCGCTTTATCCAGGAAGTGAACACTACTACGAGGAGCTGTGCATTGTGGGATCTGGAGGCAGATACGGACTATATAGTGCATGTTCAGTCCATCAGTATAAGCGGGCCGAGTCCCCTCAGTGAACCTCTGCAGTTCAAAACCCCCAAAGAAGCTGAAACACAGGCATCTAAGAGCAAAGGTACTACTGAATCTTCTTTCATTTTTCAGTATGAATGAAATAATTAATAATCAATGTTTGACACGCCACTAACAGCATGACTGTATTTTTCACAGACGAAGTGACCATGGAAGAAGTGGGTCAGAACGCTCAGCTCCGGGCAGCAGAGCTCATCATCATCGTGGTGGTTCTGATCATGTGGGCAGGTGAGTGAGGAGCACAAAACCTGCAGCTGTCCACATTCAGAACGTTCAGATTAACTGCAGATATCACTTTAATGGATGGTTAATTGAATGGCATATTGCACATCTGCAGTGTTCATGTCATTTTTTGTCTCTTTCAGGTGTGATCGCGCTCTTCTGCCGTCAGTACGACATCATCAAAGACAACGAGCCCAACAATAACAAGGACAAAGCCAAGAACTCGTCCGAGTGCAGCACCCCTGAGCATCCGTCAGGAGGTCTGCTGCGCAGTAAAGTATAACCGCTGCCCTGCGAGAGGCCAGACCACACTAGGCAGGTACAATCGTCCCGAATTGTAACTCAAACCAAACTCCACTGACATTTCAGTTCATGTTTCATAAGACAGTCATCATTTTCTCAGTGATCATTGGTAATACATAAAGTCTTGATTTTTTTTGGACTATAAACATTTACCTTCAATAATGCATTTCACATTTGATATCAACTGTTATTTTAGTTTCATTGAGGTACTATTTTAGTTTAATATTTTAAAGTTTGATTTATTTTTTATATTTTCCTTTTTCATTTAAAATTTAAAGTTGTAGTAATTATGTTGTTGTTGTTGTTGTTGTTGTTGTTTTTCTTTTAAAAAATGTCTATATTGTTTTTACTCGGTTTTAGCTTTAGTTGTTTTAATACATAAACGAAATACACTTTAAGTAAAATATGAAATAAGTTCAAAATAAGTCAAATGTAAAATAATTTGTTAACATTAGTTAACTGCGCAAGTTAACATGAATTTTTTTCACTAATTCACTAACATTATTAAAACCAAAAGCTATATCTATTAATATTATTTAATGGACTTCCTTTATTAATAAAAATGTTAACTATAATAACCAATCATTTAGGTTACTATAATTTTAGTTAACTATAACAACCCTATGCAATGATATTCTAGTAAACATAAAAGTGCAGGTAAATTGCAGGTAATAAGGTAAAACGAGGGTATAATATAATATAATGAATATAATATAACAAAAGTTTTTAACACTGTTAGATTTACTAATTAATTATACTTTTTTAATTATTATTATTAACAACTGTCGGGGCTTTACTATACATTATAGAATTGCATTCTCTGAGAACAATACATGTGATGCTGCTCAAAACAGTTAACATAGAAGCTGGTTTAATTATGTTGCCTACCTTTTGAAACAGTCATCGCATCCTTAATTTTTCATTACTCCACTTATTGCACCATGTTCTCCGCTGATCGCTCCAGGCCGCCCTCCAATCCTCTCACTAACATTAGACATCTTCTTCCACTCTCCGCAGTTCCCCAAGAACAACAACAATAACCGAACGCCATCTGTGAACATTATCAAAGTGTGACAGGATGGTTTCTGCTTCGATGGATTCCGCTTTTACCACACGGATACAGAACGGCCGTATGTGCTCATCCTCCAAACAGGAAGCAGGAATATTGGAAGTTTCCTGAAAACAGCTGGAATAATCCATAGCGAGAGAAGCCAGAAAGGTGAACTTTCACACAGACCCGCTCTGGCTCCAGCGGTCTGGAGATAAGACCAAATCTGTGGCTGTTCACGACAGGAGAAAGAAAGAAATGCAGGGGAAAAGACCCTTCTTACTTCTCTTTATCACTTTACAAACAACTGGTGCCAGCGAGGAGATCTGCACCCATTTAAATTCCTCTCTTTTAAACTTGAAAACTCTTGAGCTCTGCACCTTTATCTGGTTTTCTCTTTTACCCTAAGGCATGATCCATTCCTCGGTCTCAATGGTGGTAAATGGCTTTTATAATAAATCTGTAGTAAGCCACTAAATGCAGGACAAACATTTTTAGCTGTCAAAAAATGCTCTAGGAAAATTTAGCTAACATTCCAATGTTACGAAAACATTACATCTGAACATTAAAAACATCAAAAAAAAAAATGTATGCAAGCATTAAAGGGTTAGTTCACCCAAAAATGAAAATTAGCCCATAAATTACTCACCCTCAAGTCATCCTAGGTGTATATGACTTTCTTCTTTCAGACGGAGTTATATTAAAAATGGTCTTTGATCTTTCAAGCTGTTTAATGCCACTCAGTGGGCGTTGCATGCATCAATCCAAAAGCAATTAATTAAAAAGAGCCCATCCATTAAAAAAAAGTGTCTGAGCCGTGTGAGCCGTGTGAGACACTTTTTTTTAATGGATGGGCTCTTTGTAATTAAGTGCTTTTGGACTGATGCATGCAACACCCGCTGAGTGGCATTAAACAGCTTGAAAGATCAAAGACCATTTTTAATATACTGTAACTCTGTCTAAAAGAAGAAAGTCATATATACCTAGGATGACTTGAGGGTGAGTAATTTATGGGCTAATTTTCTCAATACTTTGGACCCCACTGTATAATATGGAGTGGTTAGAAAATTGACTAATAAACCTGAATATGGATATTTGACATCACCAGGATCTTCCAAGACTTCATCAAGCGTTCCTTTTCATAAACTCTAAAGCATTCAAATGGCTTGTTCTCTCTCAGGGAGAGAAGCGTTCATCCAGAGAATAGGTGGCTTATTTTAGACTGGTTGAAATGATTTGATAGAGAGATGAAAGAATGTCGTGGAATGATTTTACTGACAGCTCTCATTCCAGCATAAAGAGAAGACTTTTATTTCTATTTCTGATTGTGTTGTTGTTGTTTACACCTGCAGAGATACTTGAGAGAGAAAAAAAATAATAATAATAAAATAATAAACCAGCAGTGCTGGGGGAGATACTTTAAAACTGTAAGCCACTCCTAATTTAAAATAGTTGTCATTTAGAAAAAGATAGTTACACTTTTTTAATTAAAAGTGTAATCAGGTCTGTACTTGTTCCGGCACCAAAACGATTAGGAATTTGAATAACTAAATGAATGCTCTCAATTAGAGCGACTGGATTTAATATAAACAGATGAATTTACATTAAATATGTCAACAAACCAGAATACACTAATTTGTATAACCAAGCAACATTTAACTAAATATTTTTACTATTTAAAAAAAAAAGCACTTAAAATGCCATTCAGGGGCTCAACTCAATTTTTATGCTTTTATGTTTTATGTCTAATCTTAACTAATGAGACTAAGGAGAGCATGTTTGCTTATTACTGTATCTCAGTGGGTGATAATGTGACATAAAAATCTACAATGTTGGGTTTTTCATACTGCCTTGCTACTACTAAAAAGTACCTTGTTTTTGGATAAGCTATTAAAGCCAGTTGAGCTACACTCAAAAAAAATATTTAGGTTTAAATGTAAGATTCATGTTTTTGAATTGCATAGAAAATTTCTGTCCATTTGGATTACATAGTTTTAACATCAACAAACTAATAAACTTGCATATTTGTCAGTCATACATAAATGAAACAGGTCAGTTTTCTGTAATAGTACTAAAAGACTGACTGCATTTTAAATACACAATAACCAGATTATGTATCATCAATAAATCCAATATAAGTCATGCATTTTGCAATTACTATAACTGCCTGTTCCACAGCTAGACATATTTTAATGTTTATATATATTTTTTACTAATTATATTTTCACAATGAACTAATTTATGCTGATTCTAAGCAAATTGAATACATATGTTTTGAAAATGAGTATTTGAATAAAAAATAGATGCAAATAGTTAATAATAAATGATGTTTTTGAGTGTAGAAATTGTACCTGTATCATTTATGTATGACTGACAAAAATGCATCACATTAAGTTTTTAAGTTTGTTTATGTTAAAACTGTGCAATCCAAATAGATGGCAATTATATGCAATTCAAAAACATAAATATGAAATTCGGGCCTGAAAAAAAAAAAAGATTAATTGACAAAAAGCATCTATAACTCCCCAACACTGTTAGATATTACAATACTATTATACTTAAGAGTGGCTGTGTATATTTCATTATTTAGTATATAGTGTTTATTCTTTAACAAATGGAATTGTAGTAGAACTGAGTAATTTAAACATTCTAATAGTGCTTCTGTTAGTTCTACATGTTCTCATTATGATGTCAAGCCTGGTTTCAATTATTTTAAATGGTGTGAGAGAATTTTGTGGTTGTCTATAAGACAAGATGAATGATATAGGACATTTTCAGTATTCACTGGACTGCCGATCAGAGAACTTCTCTTCAGTGCTAATATCATGTTTCTCTAAAGGACATTCCCCTGTGCTTTCTCAATATCACCTCTGAGGAAGACTATCCTCCTCTCTAAACAAGGGCTGAACATGCTTCACATCAGCAATAATAACCACGGGGGATTCTGACCGGCCTCCAGGATTGCACTTAAACCGGCGGGACTGTCAACGGTGGTCGATAACAATATAGGAATTGCAGGATTGAAGTCACTGTAACTATGTTCTCAATTTTACTGTGTGCTTTTACCACACTATCCTGTACGCATTAACTGTCATTAAATCTGATGAATGGAATTGAAAAAATATTTTGTGCCGTTACTGACACACTTCTTAAAGCTGAATACAGAATAGCAAAACTAATGACAATTTATTAAACAAATCAATATTCCATCCTAAACTCACACTAATGAGTTAATCAACCTTTAAATGTTTTGCTTATAGCTGTCTCTGCATATTGTGAACATTTGTGGAAAATGTACTGACCCTCAGGCCATCAGATGTAGATGAGTTTGTTTTTTCATGGGAACAGATTTGGAGAAATTTAGCATTACATCACTTGCTCACCAATGGATCATCTGCAGTGAATGGGTGCCATCAGAATGAGAGTCCAAACAGCTGATAAAAACATCACAATAATCCACACCACTCCAGTCCATCAGTTAACATCTTGTGAAGCAAGTAGTTTTAAGAAACAAATCCATCAAGATGTTTTTACCATCAAACTGCACATTTCTCTCCTGATTCAGAATAAGAATGAAGTATTATGGATAGAAGACTCGTTAAAAATGACTTGATGGATTTGTTGATTTATCAGCTGTTTGGACTCTCATTCTGACGGCACCCATTCACTGCAGAGGATCAATTGGTGAGCAAGTGATTCAGTGCTACCTTTTTCCAATGGACTTCAATGGACTGTACATTTTAAGCACATTTTTACTTTTTGGGTGAACTATTCCTTTAAACTGAGGAAGAGAGAATGCATTTTTGAACATTGAAAAAGCACACTTTATGAGACAGCGCCCTCTTCTGGCATTCATCCTAACCCTAAAAAATACATGCAACAGCAGATCAAACTATCAAATGTGTCAAAATTTTGTCAGGATACCTAACCTACAGTATAATGTTTGTTTGTTTTTTCTCAATCACTAAATGTTTAGAGGCTGACATCCCCTAAAAATGTTTACGGTATAGACTGTATTTTTATTTTACTGTATATCCAGGGGCTTTCCAGAAACACTTATTAGAAAAAAAGTGAGGCTCCTTAAATGTGTACAACACATTCTTATTTTCATAGTGTCTTAACAGTCGTCTTGATGACAATGTGCATAAAAAAAAAAAATAAAAAAAAACATGGACAATTCACTTAAGGAATTCAGTGAAAATTAGGTTTTATAAAGGTGATTAAAACAAACATCTACACTTTACATTAAAGGTGAAGAATGTTTTTCTGCACTACTAATGGCACCAAACAGAAGTGTAATCCGTGCGTTTAAGATGTCAAAAACATTGTCTCAGCCAATGGCGTGAGTTTCAGGTGGGCCTACACGTTTAATAAAGCAATGGCTGAAATTATTCAAACTGAACCATTATTTTTACAGTTATATCTGGTGCTGCTAATGATGCATCATTATAAACTTCATCTTTAAACAAATTCTGCTCTTGTAATCAAATCTTTCCTACACTCAAATTTAGATAAATATACATTTACATTTAGCTAAAACCCTTTGACAGTCGTGATGAGAATATGATCATGAAAGCAGAAGCTGCCAAAAGTACATAAATGGATTCTGAATTCTTTGTAAATTCAACTGATGTTCAATAGTTTAGATGTTTGGAGATACTTTTCTGGCCCTGAGACAGCGAATCTCACAGTCCTTCTGAGTGTTGAATCTGTTGCTGTTCCCGTCACAGCCTCCGTACCAGAACCGGAAACATTGGCCACTGCTGACGTCGTAGTACCATTTCACTGAAAAGTTTGAGCAAGTTCCTACGTCGAGTTTGACCTGGCAAATGTCTATGAGCAGAAGGAAAATAAAGAAATAAAGGTTTTAAGTTGCTGAGTGATGATCAGGTTGATCAGTTTGAGGCAATTTAAAAAAGTCACTTTTAATACTTGCATATTTTACCATGCATATTGAGTTCAGCAATAATTTTATACTTGATAAAATCTCCCTAAGCATCTCGATCTGCATCTACTTGATCTGCATCTCCCTAAGCAGATGTGCTAAAACATTAGTCACATTTAAATGCAGACTCAAAACTCATCTGTTTAGCTGTGCATTTATTGAATGAGCACTGTGTGATGTCCGAACTGATTGCACTATATTATATGTATAATCGTTTTCTTAAATTCATTTTAAACCTCTTAAATCAATTTTTTTTTTAAATAATTTTCAAAGTTTTAAATTCCTTGTTTTATTGTTGTGATTATTGTTTTTATTTTATTTTATGTAAAGCACTTTGAATTACCATTGTGTATGAAATGTGCTATACAAATAAACTTGCCTTGCCTTGATTTTCAAGATGGTTTTAGTGAATGAGGGATGCTCCTCGTATGTCTAAAAAATTAACTAGTTTAAATTCTAAAAATGCTAAATATTTTATGGTTTGGTTTAGGTTATAGAAAATATAATTATCTTTATTTAAAAATGGTGGAAGTCTATGGCATATCCGTCAAGTAAATGTATATTTTACCCTTGGAAATGGAATCATCCTGTGGAAGATTTTCAGATTCTGTGGGAGAAATTTGAACAAATCTTAAAACTCTGTATAGGTAAATGGCCTACATAAAACAACCCATCCATTAAATATATATGAATTTAGTAAATTAGTATAAATGGCTAAATTACTGTATATAAAAGAGGAAATAATGCATAATGTATAATTTTATTCATTAAATATTCATATATTCAAAATAATAATAATAACTTAACCCTCATGTTATGTTCTGGTCATTTTGGCCTGGAGAGGTTTTTCTTTTCCCCAAAAAGGCTAGTTAATGTTCTCGCATTGCACTGAAACCTATTGACTTCACTCACACATGGGTATAACAACAACCCTGTAGATAATTATTATACAGTAAGTTTTATTAATTTTTTCCCTACTTCATTACACTTGCGGTGTTCCTGGCCAAAAATTGGCAGTCTACAAAAAATTGCTTGTTAACCTCTTATTATGCTATATTATTACCAAATATTGGATTTACTCTTTCTATCAATGTATTTTCTTTTAGTTAGCACAGATTATGTTTCTTTTTAAAGCTGACTGATTGTATGCCTCATTGATCTAAGATTATCCACAAATAATGCATTTTTTCACTCAAAAACTGAGATGCATAGGCTCGGATCAATGGGGCATATTATAAAACCAGTGCTAATTCAAAGAAAACAAGTTGACTAAAAAAACGAATCCAAGATTTGCTGATAATATAGCATTCACGTGCAAGGACAACACCACAACCAAATATGTAAATGAATAGTTTATTGTTCAGAATGTTTGGGATGAGTTGGAAGAGGATGAAAAGGTAAAGGGGATAGGATGATGGTCAGGTTGATCTGGGCGTCTGAAATTGATGGCCCGGAGAGACTCAGGATGGGGGTATCATCTTGTTTGTATATTTAGGCCAGACGATTAGCACCCCCCGATGCAACCTGAAAAGAATGAGGATAGCTGATTTGATAAAAGGGGAGGGAAGGGTCAGTTCGAGAGAAAGAGACAAACTGCACGGTATGAGGTGGCCCGATATATGAAGGATTCTGGAAGTGAAGTGATTGGTAGAGGCGTGGCCTCGCTCCTGAACCTCAGTTAACTAGTTAACTCCCTTAATGAGGAATTTACAAGCAATTTTTTAAAGGCTGTTCATTTTTGACTGGGAACACCAAGTTAGGTAAAAGGATTTTCAGCACAGCACAAGGGTTAAATAAAAAGTAAATAATCAGAATTTACACCAATTTAAAAAAAAAAGGGATAAGGAACTGCCTAAATATCAGGCTGTAACAAAGTTTGGTAAATTTACCTGTAGACACACATTCCCTAAAGCACTCATCCTCTGTCAAGAATCGATTTTCATTTCCACCACAACCACCGTACCAGAAGCGCATGCATTTCTTAGTCTGCTGGCTGTAGTACCATCTGGACATATACGATCCACACACATGGCCAGAATCTTTCTCTAGGAAGCATCGTGCTGTTGGAAACAAACAGTACACTCAAGTAATTCCCAATACTGAACTCTGTCAGAGAAACGGTATAAAAACAGCTTGTGCATTTTTAATATGAGTGAGGGTACATCCACAGTACTGCGTCAGAGATATATGAAGAGTTCAGATGCAAAAGCCTCTAAGTGCCATCTGACATTTTCGTCTAAAATTAGCATTTTTATGTTTAGGTTCAGTAATTCTACTCTAATGGCAATGTATAGGTCATTTTCTATGCAATTAAAGTGAAATAACTGAACATAAATATAGGAGCCTGATAAAAATGCTCATTTTAGATGAAAATTTCAGACGGCATTTAGAGGCTTCTGCATCTGAACTCTTCAGCAACTTCAAAAATGGTAGAGCAGCTATATGAGGGATTTAATTGGGCAGTAAGATTTGGATTCACCACCTTTAGTTTTCGGGGGCTCGGTATGGTCCTCTTTGTGCTCTCCTGTAAATCGTTCAATGTCATCAGGTTGACTGGGTTCAGTGATTGGTTCTATGTTTTGCTCATTATAAACATCTTCATAATCTTCCAGAGGTTCCTCTGTTTCAATGAGCTCTTCGGTGGGTGCTTTAGTGGGCAGAATATCTCTGAAATACAGAAGGATTTGTTTCAATAAAAAGCACAGAATGTGTCCTGTACAGCTAATAAGTGTTGTAGTGCACAGCGGTCAAGATGGCAAAACTCCTTTCCACACAATGTGTGGAAAGTTATATTTTGATGTGATCAGGCTCTGTGGACAACAAAGGAATGACTTTTGCATTAAGATAACAACAACACTACCTGTTGTTGAGAGGGGGTTAAAATTAACCTACAGTAACCCCTGTTCAGGAACCGCTTTGTTCTCCCTCACTCTTATCAAAGTGTGAATGATCGTAAATTCCCCTCACAGGAGGCCAAAGCCACAAAGGAAAAACACATCTTCACATGCATTCACACAAAATGGACACAAAATTGACCAAAACTCCTTTCCACACAATGTGTGGAAAGTTATATTTTGATGTGATCAGGCTCTGTGGACAACAAAGGAATGACTTTTGCATTAAGATTACAACAACACTACCTGTTGTTGAGAGGGGGTTAAAATTAACCTACAGTAACCCCTGCTCAGGAACCGCTTTGTTCTCCCTCACTCTTATCAAAGTGTGAATGATCGTAAATTCCCCTCACAGGAGGCCAAAGCCACAAAGGAAAAACACATCTTCACATGCATTCACACAAAATGGACACAAAATTGACTAAACCTCCCTTGTGTCAATTTACAGAACTGTATATACTTAATGAGTGCTGTGTGTGATACAACAAGGTATGCAACATTCCCTATTAAGGTATATACTGTAAATGCAGGTGTCAATGCTCAGTATTACCCATTAATGTTTGGTCTTCATATTTTCAGTATGTGTAGCTTAATCTGGAAATGGTTTGGAAAGTGAATAATGCATAGGAAACACTTTAAAGGCATTGTTCTGAACGTGGACTTTAAGCTATGCAAATAGACCTCATATCACACCTCTGACAGCATCAGCCAATCAAAACGTTGGATCTGAAAGGCGCCAACTTGCAGATCCCTCCTTCTCATGGAAAGATTAAAAGGTTCTCTTCAAGACAAAGAATTTGTGCTAAGATGTTGTTGCTAAGTTAGCTTCTAAGTGGCGTGGTCGATCTTGTGCTAAGATGTTGTTGTTAAGTTATGTTATAAGTGTTGTTGCTAAGTTAGCTTCTAAGTGGTGTGGTCGACCTTGTGCTAAGATGTTGTTGCTAAGTTAGGTTCAAAGTGGTGCGGGGCGAACTTGTGCCAAGATGTTGTTGCTAAGTTAGGTTCTAAGTGGTGCGGTCGACCTTGTGCTATGATGTTGTTGCCAAGTTAGCTCATAAGTGGTGTGGTCTACCAGCTTCAAAGTGGTGTGGTCTGCTGCTAAGCCAAGATTTAGTAGTTGTTAGTTACTCTTGTCTATCCCTTTGTTAATAAAACCCCTTTTATTCCACCTGTGTCTTCCTTATGTTGATAATACAGTAGATGTGCAGTAAAATACAGTAAATAAGAATGTAATTCTTATTTATTCAACAATCTTCCATGATTGGTATTTATTGTTAATGCGGAATTCCTTGGATGGTGCCCACGTAAAATAGTAATATATATTATTAAAGTCATTACACTGGTGGTATTACTTAAATCTAAAATCACTACATTTAGTGGTGCCCCATGTGAGGCTAACATATGATATCACTACATTTTTGGTATCACTACAGTGTCCAATAATTCAGCATCTGTTTGTACTTCAATGTGCAAATAAAAACAAAACATGGTTAATGAAGCCCAGGTTTACTGCATAGACAAAAACTCTTATGTTTTGATTAATCAGGTTAGCAAGAATCAGCAGTAAATACAGATGCAAGTGGCTACATATTGGGCCAAGCACGGTCTACATGTTAGGCACAGTGCAAAGACTCAAAAGTCAACAAGGTAAATTTTTTAGACCACCCTAAAACCTTTAGATTATTGAGCCCAGAGCTTAACCGACTGTCACATCACACAAAAGCAAGCTAAGGAAATGCTTCTGCTGCTACAACCAAATGGTTAAGAAAATACACAACCCATGCACTAACCTTTGTGATTTTATGTCTAACGATTGTGGATGGTAAATCTCATTACCTCTCTGTGGTTTTTGGTCCAGATTCAACAGGTCTCAACACAAAACTACGACAGTCACGAGGCTGTATTGATGACCGGGGTAAGATTCCTCCTGCAAACAGCAGGTATACACCAGGGTTATTCACATAAACTAAAATAAAAATAAAACCATTAAAAAAAAAATTTATTACTTAAAATAAATGTTAACTGAAATAAAATAACGTATAAAAAATTAATTATTTTAAGCTAGTTTCCAAGGCAACATTTCTCATTTAGTTTACCTTGAAGTACTAAAATTAACTAAAACTAAAACTGAATTAAATTGAATAAAACTATGTGGACTTATTAAATCAAACAAACAAACAAATACTTGTAAGACAAAAATACACGACAAAAAATGCTAAAACTTTAACTAAAATAAAAAAAAGAATATGCATAACTCAATATGCATGCAGCAGTGACAAAAGTTTAACTTATACTTATAAATTTTTTTTTTTACTTCACAGAGACATCAAAATTACTAAAACAGATAAAAATTACTAAAACAAACTAAAATAGAAAACTAAAAATATTAAAAAAAGATTAACAAAAAAACTATAATAATTTAATAAAAAAATAATATTTTGGGTTATATACTACTTATTATACAGACCATGTTAGTTAGCAGCTGTATCGCAGTGGCCTTATGTAAACACAATTATGAATATTTCTTACTGTGGAGCATACGCAGGAAGGCGTAAGCGAAGCGTGTGCTGTAATCTCTGTCATCCAGGAATACCAGGTGCTGCTCCAGACGAGAGCTGGTGAGCTCCTCCATCCGAGTCCAGTCGAATCTCTGTCCCGCCATGAGGATAAACATAACAACATTCTGGCACTTACACAATCTAGATAAATAATCAAGATGCGCTTTGCTGTGCTCAGAGTCTTCACCAAAAACAGCCATGACCATTCGTTTGCTTCGTGGCCTTTCTGCTTTAAGGATAACGTTAGTAATTAGCCACTCCAAAGCAAACTCAGGATGGGATGTCCCGCCCACTTGCTTCACTGTATTAGTAATATGCCTCTTCATGATATTGCGATCTTTAAATTTAGTGAAGCTGAACTCCTCGTTGATGTAAGAGGAGCCGTAAATAGAGCTCTGCTGGTAGACGGACACTCGGGTTTCCCCGTCTGCTCTGCTCGGCTCGCTGCTCACACCGATCTGGTCCAACAGAGAAAGAAGGAGCTCCTTCGCATTTACATACTGTTGAGTGTTCAGGTTATCAGACCCATCCAGCAGCACAGAGAGGTCCAAATCCATCTGCAGGGGCTGAGGGCACAGAATTACACCACACACTGGGTCTGGGTTACAACGATCTGGGAAGAGAGAATAAAAACACAATTTTCAATTAAAGACACCCAAGATCCAAAACCTGCCTACATTAGGCCACACCCTAACAGAAATGGAACCTCATAAATGACTGATTTGGAACACTCTAGTCTAGATAGACAGCAACTGTCTATACAAACTGTGTGTCATACAAAAAGAGCTACTCACTGGGACTTCGCTAAGATAACTAGGGTTGCAAAAAGGTGGAAAATGTCCAGTAAATTTCGGAAACATTCCAGAAATTTTGGAAACTCTTCAGGATTTTTGGGAATATTCCAGGGATTTTTGGAAAGTTTCCGGAAACTTACCCAAAATGTTCCACCCCTTTGCAACCCTAAAGATAACACTAATAAAAATATAATATTGATGCGCACAAACATTGGTCAAAACATGCATTTTTTTTACAATCAACATTTACAATCAAGATAGAAGTTAAGATTCTGTAACGTCACCACCATAAATGAAATTTTATTGAGCTTGCTGCAATGCACAATTTACTTTTCATTAGGAAGTTGGCATGCTTAGTTGCTTATATAATGACATGAACTATAATAAGCATAAATAAAAATAATACACAAATATTGGTCAAAACATGCTTTTTTGAGGATTTATAATCAACATTTCTGTAACTTCATCCACCATCATATATGGACTTATAATGATCTTTTTGCAGTGCATTATGGGATTGACTTTTCATTGGGAAGTTGACTTGCTGACATTGCTAAGATAATGACATAATACTCTAATAAGCATAAAATTAATAATGCACACAAATATTGGTCAAAATAGGCCTTTTATTCAGGTTTTACAACAAAGATATCTAAGTTTGTCCATTATAGATCGATTTTTACTGCCTCATTGGGAAGTTGGCATGCTGCACTAACAAGCATAACAAATATCCCTACAAATATCTGTTACAACATGCTTTTTTTTATAATCAACATTTCTCTAACTTTGTCCACCATCAAAGATTACAGAGCTTGTTGGAATGCATTATGGCTGGGACTTACTTGCTGCCTTAAGGGCCATTCACTTCTCACAGAGCCTTCAGTGCTTCACAGTTTTAAATGTTTAGATGCTCAAAGAGGTGAAAAGGATCAAATGTGAATGTCTGCACTGGAGCTTACCAAAACAAACGATGCACTGTTTAATGCGGTTTACTCCTCTGCCATCAACAACAATGTAGCTTCCTGTGTCATCAACCTGAGACAGACATTTGAGACAGACATTCAAAGCTAAGACCGTTAGCAAATAGAACTTGATGGCATTCCAACTCTATGGAAACCTGAGAGCACAGAAATCTGCGGAAAGTTCCATAGACAAACAAATTTTAATTTGATAGTGCTTTCAGCTACCTAAAAAAGTATAGTTCTCATTGTGTCATCACAAATCACTAATGATGATTCAAATTAGTTTCATAATTGATCAACTGAATTGATCTAAATTGAATTGAATCAACACTGAACTGACTGGAGCTGAAAAAAAGAGACTACTGACTTTTGTAGAGCTTCTTTATAGCTGGATTAAGCTTGTTTTATAATTGATGAAATCTGCATGATTACTAAGCTGAACCGAATCATCATTGAACTGACATGAGCTGAATAATGACACTATTATCCACTATAGAGCTGCTTTGTACGGTGCCCGGGAGCTAACAATGGACTGTTTTTAGTGCGATAGTCAAGTTTATCATGAATAAATGTTACATAAAGTGCATAATATAAAATATAAAAACATTTTTATCCATCCTACAGTCTTGTAAGTCCATTAACTGATCGTTTTTCCCCGTAATATTTGTATATTATTATTATTATTAGCCTATTATTATTGGTTATATTTGTATATTCGTTTATATACATTTTTTCCCTTCATTTCGATCTCTTTACTTAACGTTCTGAATACTTTTGTAAATAATAGCGTACTGTAAATGCTCGACATGCTAATAAAGCTTTGATTATGCTGACTCTAATTTTTGCTAGAATTTAAATTTAACTAGATTTCATTTTATTTCGGCTAATTAATAGACCATAATTATAAATACTATAGTGTTTCGTTGAAGAATTAATCATTCACGTAGTTTCATTTGTAAATGAAAACACAACACGCAACACATTTATCATCACACATGGGCATAAATACGATCATAAAGTCAAAACTTTATTGGCATATTTGTCAGGCGTTTATTTGCAAAATATATGGTCGGCTAGCAAATGCTAGCATAATTATACAAAACGTTAACTAGGTAAAGCAATACACAAATTGAAAGGGGAAATAAGCATATATAACAATAAATATAAAAATATAGCCCTAATAAGTTAATGTAATAACAATAATATACAAATATTAAATTAAATGTTTAATGTTAATAAAAAAATGTTATCCATTTTTGATAATCCCGGGTTGCTATGGTCACATAGGTTTGTTTATGCATTAAACTCATGGCCACGAGAAAAATATGTCGTTCCCTCAGCATAAGAAGTCATAAGGATGACGTTACCTCGACAAAATGATCTCGTGGCCACGACATAATATCACGTTCCCACGAGTTAATATGATGTTCCCTCAAATTATTATCTCGTGGCCACGACATATTATCATGTTCCCACAAGTTATTATGTCGTGGCCACGACAAAACTAAGTGAACCGAACATGTCAGCTCCCGGGCACCGTAGCTTTGTGGTTGAACTGAGTTTTTCTTAACTGATGAACTTTGCAGCACTAATACTGTTATTGAACCTAACTAAATCCACATGAAACCAAACTGAGTTGAATAATGACACTATTGTCTGTTTTGTGCTACTTTACAGCTGAAATTGTATTTTTAAGAACTTTGTCAAATTAACGCTGTTATTTTCATGCCTGTTTATTACTGTGGAGTAATATAAATAAATATAAATGTAGGTGACATGCATTTTTTGCATATGCAAATCTGATTGTTTTCTTATCTACCTGCATTGCTCGGCTCACATCATCAGCAGGATTTAAGGTGATCACTCCGAGGCCAATGTCTGCAGCCTTGAACTCCAGCATGGCTGTTGCAAGGCTGGATTCATCCCTCGATGGCCCGTTTGTGAAGAACACGGCCACTTTCCTCATAAGCCTGCCCTTTCGGACACGTTTGAAGACGTTCCGGGCCACGAAGCTCATGGCTTGTCCGATGTCTCTGGTTTTTGTGGTTCTTTCTAGAGCGACTGCTTTTACAGCTTCCAGAAGGGCCGTCTTCTTAAGGTGGTCTGCGAAACGGATCAGGTTCCTGGTCTTGCTGCTGTAGGAGATCACAGACACTCGCGCTCCACATGGACAATTTGTTTCAGCAAAGGATATGTCTTCCAGTAAGGACAGAGCAGCAGAATGCATTCGCTCGAACACCAGAGGAGTCACACCCTCAGACATGTCCAATGCTATCACCAGGTCTGTGGGGTAAACTGGACACCGGCTCCCATTATCTAAAAAAAAACAATAATAAAATCCACTATTCACAAAAAGTTACTAATAAATGAGGCACTGAAATGTTAAAGTATAAGGTAAAGCATACCGGAGCAGCAAGCTGTGGAAACAAAATAAAATATAAAATTGATATGCATTCCAAATGATTTCAAGGTTTAAAAAGGAAAATACACATAAAAGGGATTGTGAAGAGAAAAATAAAAAATGTAATAAGATAATGCTAATGACTAGAAATCACTAGCAGTCATTTTGCCTGGCATCCTTTGGATATTAGGCGCTCTGAACTTACGACAGTTTTTGCGAATGTATTTGACCAGGTCACATTCCTTGACGTTCAGAAGCAGAAAAGAACAGAGGGAAAAGAATCAAACTTTTGGAACTGATGAGTAATGTAAAGATAACGCATAGTAATATCAACCTACAGGCATTGGACTGATTCCAGGAGGTCCTTTATCACCCTAAAAATAAAATGAAATTAAATAAACCATTTAATAAATACATAAACAATTAAAGAGAGAAGGAAAGAAAGAAAACAGAAACATCTTTGTACCTTATTTACATTTGCTTAAACTGACAGGGTTCTGTGACGTATAAACATTACAAATAAATAAAAGCAATCACAATTTTTAATCAAATCAATTACATGATGTGCCAATTAATCAATTGTATTAGTCACACATCAATTTTGGCTGAGCAATTACCCCACAAAAGATCATTTAAAGTCATTATTGAGCTAGATGAGAAAAGCATTGAATAGACATTACAAAAGAGTAGCTTCAGAAAGAAATATTTAAATTCAACATTGCTTAAATAATGATAAAAATGGGTATTAAAGTTTGTTTTTCTTCATATAACTGCATTCTCATAGGCTACATCACACAGTCAGTCGTCATCCTGCATCATGCTCGTCAGCAACTGCACGCAGTGTAAGATGACACAGAGGTCTGGGCGGGAGGGGTGCACTAAATGCATCAATTTTAGTGCATTATTTTTTTCAACAACCCTTATGTAATTATTTGCTTAAATTTGTAAGAAAGTTTAGCAAATGACTGACCCTGTGTCCGTCCATCCCGTTCTCTCCTGGAGCACCTGGAGGACCCGGACGACCAGTGTTTCCCTGATCACATCAATGCATAATACAACATAACTGTAATAATAACTTCCTCCAAACATATAGAACTGTCTCTATGATGTTAAGTAAATTAATGTCATTTAAAAACATGATTGTTCTGTTGGACATTAACTTTTCAGAAGGTTAATAAATAAGCAAAAAAGTAAATCAGATGAAAGCGTACCGGTTTTCCTCGATAACCTGTATGTCCTTTACTTCCACTGGATCCTTTGGTGCCATCCTCACCCTATTATTATAATCACTGATATTAATCAGAATCAGAATGAGCTTTATTGCCAGGTATGTTTACACATACGAGGAATTTGTTTTAGTGACAGAAGCTCCACAGTGTAACAGAATGACAGTGACAAGACAGGACACAGATAATAAAAAGAATAACACAAAAATAGACAAAATAGACAATGTACAAAAAGGCAAAAACACAATATATAATATAGACAATTTTGTATGTACAGGTATGATATGTGCAAATTTGAAATGTAAATAAGTATGTGTGTTAAACAAATAATGTATACTAGAGTTGTGTGTTCCACGATATTAATAATGTTACATAATGTTATATTAGTTTAAAATTACTATTATTAACATTTACACAATTACATAAAACACATAATGATGAGCTGCAACAGATGTTTAACTAGCTTTAACACACCTGCAAACCAGGGAGGCCAAAGTATCCAATGTTTCCCTAAAAGCAATTTGATTCTGTTAGTTGAACATCCATAAATGTACTCAAGTGAGAGAAAACAAGTCACTGTATTTTCCAGAAAAGAATGTTTGCGCTTTGCTCATGTTTTGTGTGCTCGATGTTAATTGCACTCGCTTTGGAATATAAGTCATGATAGCATGTTTCAGATTATTAAAAAACACAATTTATATCCCACAAAAAATACAATAAATAGAAAAACCTTTTATAATATATGATTTGTGAAACAGAAATAGTAGATGTTCAGATGCAATTTCTCTTAGAATTTCTCAAATTTTTCAGTAAATTCGTGTATGGCACAGGTACCTTGTGTCCTTTAGGCCCAGAAGGTCCATAACCGTCTCTTCCATCTTGTCCCTGTGTACATAAAGTCATGCATTAAACTGGAAAGACGCACAAAACTAGTAGTCAACATTTGAAGTGGATCAAAAAAGTTCATCAAAGTTGTCATAAAACAAGAATGCATTTTGGTTTTAGGTTTTAGGACAACTTTGGTTTAAATAAATTAAACATTTTGAAGTAAATCATGCACAAATGCAACAACTGACTGGAGGCGCTTTGAATCCCTCTGGTCCCAGCGTTCCCTTGGGTCCTGAGTCACCAGGTGGACCCTAAACATAAGCAGGCACAGTGTGAAAAGAGGAGCATAGAATTGATGTACAACATACAGCTGCCGCACTATTACATAACATACAGTACTGAAGACCAACCAGGCATTAAAGGAATAGTTCATTCAAAAATTTAAATTTGCTGCAAAATTTACTCTCTCTCCATCCAAGATGTAGATGAGTTTGTTTTTTCAGATCCTCTGCAGTGAATGGGTGCCGTCAGAATGAGAGTCCAAACAGCAGATAAAAGTATCACAATAATCCACAAATCTATAAACTTGTGGATTATTGTGATGTTTTTATCAGCTGTTTGGACTCTCATTCTTACGGCACCCATTCACCGCAGAGGTCTGATGAGCTTGAGTAAATTCAGCAAATTTTCATTTTCGAGTGAATTTTTCCTTTAATCTGACTAAATAAAAGCCAGTCAGACCTGTAATGTTTTTGGTATTCAGATCTGACGTGAACTGTTACCACTCAGAAAGGTTATGTTTTTTCATCATTACATTAATTCAGGTTAGCTCGAATTACTGGCTATTTGTGTTTTAAGAAATACATTTTTCACAGAATCAGGAAAAGTGACAGAAGTAAGGAAGAAGAAAACATTAATGCATCAGTCTTACATACCCTTGGCCCTCTGTGTCCTCGAACTCCCTTTGAACCTTCAGGTCCAGGTGAGCCAAAGGTACCCTATGAAAACACATATGGTTCTCTCAACAGTCATAGTATTGTTCTCTCTGTGCTCTATATCATATGTTTTGTACTCTACGGCTAAAACATGAACATGCAACTAGCCTAAACAACTGAATACACACCTGAATCCCAGGTACACCTGGAGGACCACTGTCTCCCTGAAACCCTTTTGGGCCTGGTTGTCCCTGAACAGACAAAAAAAAAAAAAGATCAGGGAGGTATAACAGTCCATACGACTTTTAAAATCTGAACAGATTTTAAAACGCTAGACATCATACACTTACCAACTTTAGTCACAAAGGAAAAACTGGGCATCATACACTAAAGTTTAAATTCGTTCCGACCACTACAAACTCACACAGAAACATGCGCCTTGTTGCTAAGAGACATGTGACAAATGAAAACAATGTGTGTTCTAAAATCGGCAGAAAATTTTAAACAAGTTTGATATCCTCGAATGGATGGAATCATAGTCTGTAGCTAAAAAGAATAGGAGTCTGTGACCATCATACACTACATGATTTTCTATGGAATCTTGTCAACTCAAATCTGCAGTCTGGCTCTGACTGTCAGCAACTAGCATCAGCTTCTCCAGACTATAAATCTGGGGAAAATCAGGACAAATGTTGTGTAGTGTATTCCAGCCTTAACATTAGAAATCTCTTATCTGCATGTTTCTTTTTAAATAAAGGTGAAATTTCCAGTTCTCACCACTTGTCCAGGGTAACCAGGAGGCCCTGGCTGTCCAGCTTCTCCTTTTTCATTTGAAGATGCACCCTATACAGATACACACATTTACCATTACCACATTACTACAGCAGAACAGAATTGTATATGTTAGAATTAAGAGTAGATTAGAACAGACAATATTAGAAAAGAATGAAATAGATTAAATTAAAATGCAACAAAGTAGACTAGAACAGAAATGAACAGAACAGTTTGCTGTGTATATATTTCATGCTACATTACCGGCAATCCTGGTCGGCCTTTTCTTCCTGGAGCACCCTACCAAAATACACTGAGAAGTTATCTGAAGGTTAAAACTTCTTAACCCTTATTTAATTCATTTTTTCTCTGCTGATGAAGGATATCCAAGATATCCATTTGTCACACCAAAGTTCAAATACAAATCACGACCATTATGGTACAACACACTAAAACAGGAACCATTCAAAAGTTGGGATCAGTAAGATTTTAATGTTTTCAAAGTCTCTTATGCTCACCACGGCTGAATTCATTTGATCAAAAATACAGTGAAAAACAGTAATACTAGCCTGGATGTGGTCAATTTGTTGTGCGGCACTCGCTTGAGGTGGCTTATCAATGGATTTTACCTGTGCCCCAGGATAAGTTTTGAATCCCTTCTCGCTGTCAGACACCACAGAATGGATTCTTGACAGAAAGGATACTATCTGTGACCCAGGACAAGTTTTTAATCCCTTCTCGCTGTCGGACACCAACGTCTTCGTCACGGAGGAGTGAATCCTTGCAATCCAGTGTGTGTCAGGATGGCTCTGGTAAACTCTAAATCTCTTGTGAATAAGACTTTTTTTTTCATCACCTCAAGCAAACTGGATTTTTTTTTTGTGACTGAGACTTGGTTGAGTATGGGGGATACAAGCCCCTTTTCTGAACTTGTGCCCTCAGATTGTTCTTTTCTGAACTGCCCTATTCTATGGCAGGGGCGGTGGGCATGCATCTGTTTTTAAAAGCAGTTTTTGTTGCTGATCTTTAAAGACTGAATTGTTTTCGAGTTTTGAAGTTCTCTTGTTTTAGCTAAATATGGATCAGTTAGCCATCGCTGTGGTCTATCGCCCTCCAAATCCTAATAAGGATTTTTTTTTTTAATGAGTTTGCAAACTTCTTAGGAAACACTGTTCTTCGGTATGATTGGATTTTGATTGTGGGGGACATTAATATTCACATATGTTGTGAGTTAAACTCCTTGCCAAGGACTTTACTAATCTGATTGACTCTTTTGATTTTGTACTGGTGGTTTTTTTTGTTTGTTTTTTAACTCTAAAGCCTTGATTTTAGTTTTTCTGATCATATGCCTGTTAAATTTATCTGCTCTCTGCCAAATCAAGTTTCAAAAACTATGAGGTTTCACAGCAGATTCAGAGTCCATCTTCTAGTGATGATTTCTCTGCTCTTTTCAAGGAAGCTTGTCCCTTTCAAATTTGTTTCATGTTGATGAACATCTTATGTTGTTCATTTCCATCAGTAATGACATAATGAATTCTGTGGCTCCACTAAGAGAAAAAGAGCTGAACTTTGGTTAATCAACACCACACTTGTACTTAGACAGGGTTGTCTTAGAGCTGAACGAAAGTGGAAAAAAGACTAATTACAAATGTCTTTTGAAATATTACGTGAGTCACTCATTAGATACCAAAAATCAGTTAAAGTTACAAAATCTCAGTACTTCTCTGTCATTATAGTCACTTTTACATTACTGTTACTTTTAATTCACTTCAATATATTATTAAGCAGCTTAAACCTACCACATGTCTGCACGACATTATTCCAATAATTTTTTTTGTTGCAGGTCTTTGATGTTGTTGGGCCTAGCATTTCAGCTATAATAAGTAAGTCCCTTCTCACAGGTGTTGTTCCTAAATACCTAAAACATGCAACCGTTAAACCCTTGCTTAAAATTTTTTTTTAAAATGTTGACCCAACAATCCACTCCAATTATAGACCTATAACTTCTTTTATTTCTAAAATCTTAGAGAAAGTTGTTTTGGAACAACTGCAGAGTTTTCTGGAGCTAAATAGTGTTTTTGAAGAATTCCAATCCGGGTTTAGAAAATATCACAGTACTGAGTGTGCTTTATTTAAAGTTTTTAATGATATTTTGTTGACTGTTGATTCTGATGGGGATTCTGTGCTACTCTTATTCTTAGACTTAAATGTGTGGGCATTGAAGGTTGTGTTCTTAATTGGTTTAAGTCCTACCTGAATGATAGAACTTTTTCTGTTTGTCTTGATGGGTTTTCATCTTCTGTTTTGGATTATGAAGTCCTTCAGGGCTCCATTCTGGCCCCTGTTTTGTTCTCGCTGTATATGCTTCCTTTGGGTACCATTCTTTCTAAACATGGGGGGGGGGGTGTCTTTTCACTTTTACACTTACACAAATTTATTTAGAAAATAATGTATTTGGGCCCACAGGTGTGTCAGGAGCTTTTGAAGGCGACCTGGGAGAGTTGGTCCCCTATGTACAACGTCCTGTAAAAAAAACTTTTCTACTCAAATTTGATAAACAGATAAATGCTGTAGTTAAATCTAGTTTTTTTTCCAATTAAGATTGTCTAAGGCTAAGAGTTTCTTAACATTTGCAGAGTTTGAAAGAGTGATTCATGCGTTCATTTCATCTAGACTTTACTATTGTAATTCTCTTTATATTGACTGTATTTAATTTTTGTCCTTTTCAGATGGTTTAAAATGCATTTGCCAGACGTTTGACTTGAATTTGATTATATTTCCCCAATAAACAATTTTTTAAAAAAAAGTTTCAAAATTTAGTTTTTTGTTCTTAAAGCTCTGAATGGATTAGCTCCAAAATATCTTTCGACTATTGTAATTCTCTTTATATTGACTGTATTTAATTTTTGTCCTTTTCAGATGGTTTAAAATGCATTTGCCAGACGTTTGACTTGAATTTGATTATATTTCCCCAATAAACAATTTTTAAAAAAAGTTTCAAAATTTAGTTTTTTGTTCTTAAAGCTCTGAATGGATTAGCTCCAAAATATCTTTCTGATCTTTTGAATTTAAATCATTAAGGTCATCTCGACAAAAGTTGCTGATGGTTCTGAGATCTAGACTTTAGTCGAGTGGTGGCCAAGCTTTTTCTATCATTGGTCCAAAATGATGGAATAGTCTCCCTTTATCCATTAGATTAATCTCCACAGAGTCTGAATTTAAATCTAAGTTAAAAACATACATTTCTCTCAGGCTTACAACTGTTTTTGATTTTAAATAGACTATAGAGACATCAGAGCCAACAGTATCGTGGGCAGTTGTGTTTTTTTTTTTAGGATTGTGGCGGTTTCATGTTTTTTTTCCCCCTGATTGTGCCTTTATATGAATCAGAATAAATGAAAAAGTTGCAGAACCACTGCATTTTAATCAGTATCCAAACAAAGATGCTATCTGAGTAGTTTTAGATTTAAATTATATTGTTGAGTATAATTTCACAATTCAAAGCAAAAACAGAATGAGCTGACTTTAGCTTTGTGAAACTATACTACATAAAAACATATCTGCACAAAACAAAATCAGCAGACGGCTGAATGAGAATGCAAATTCACTCACTGACAGCAGGTGGCGCTCATGGAACAGTAGCAAATCGTTTTTCTTTGGTTACCACTGTAAACAAAGCAGCGCTGCACTTATGAAACTACTTTAACATGCATTACACAGAGGCAAGATACAAAGAAAATACAATCTAAACTTTTCCGACGACAATTCGCCTCAGAGATACATTCATATAAACCCCCACTCCCAGTCTAGTATTTAGAATTTTCATCTGATGTTTTGCACTGTAAACAGTGAGCTTGCTCTTTGTTACAGTATTTTCTTCTCTTTGCGTTGCAACCTCTGCCAGGTAGGTATAAGACATCATCCTCATTATTCATTCATCATTAATCTTTTGTTTTTATTCAGCCATTATTTTGGCATTAAATGGCTTACCCACATCATTTTGATCCCAGTATACATTTACCTATAGAGATATGCATTTACCCACCTAGTGGGAGTTCATCATCCGAAGAGGCAGGGTGGGTTATGAACACGTAAGATAACTGACATATGAGCAGTGAATGAGTCATAACAGCGATTGCGGAAGAGAAAACACAGACAGACAGTGCTAGAAGCAACTAATGCTCATCAGATTGCATTATTCATTGGAAAATTAATAGAAATTATGATTCCGTTTAAAGAAATATGAAGTAAATGTAAATATATCAATATTTCTCCAAGTATACACTCTTATTGATGCTAAGTGAAACTATGCAAACTCAAATAAACCGCAGCAGACGTGACTGAATATGAATGAATATGAATTCTATTCAAAATATCATACATTACTGATTGATTATTTTGCACTCTAAATAAATTAAGAAATTATAATCACTGCAATCAAGTGTTATCATAACAGTGGTCAAATATCAAAGTTGGAGTCTTCAATCTTTCTAATGATACACTGTTTGTCCAGATCAAGTAGGAGTGTGATGTTTTAATGTCCTGTGAAAGTGAAACAACAATAATCTGAAGTCGCCAGCGATCTTTGCAGGTTAATTTAACAGTTAACTCTCAATTCACTATGCTGTCTGCATTGCTTAGGCAACTTGTATCAGTATGCAAGTTTTTTTTTTTTTATTCATACCGGTCAGCGCTGATAGCCTCGTGGTCGACAGCTTTTTACTCACCAAGACAGGTATTTCAACATCATTTTGTATGTATTTGTCAGTTCAAGATCATGAGCAGGCAAAACTCAACTCGGTGTTCAAGGGCTGTGAGACGCAGCTCTCTGTGTGCACGCTGTGTGCACAGAACACAGAGCGTGGGTGCTGAGGCTTTTCACATCCTGAGCATCTTTTTAGGCTGGCCTCGGGCAGTCTGTTTTAAATCGCTGGGGGCCCCCCACAGACGTGGGCCCCTATAATTGTCACCACCTTTCACCCCACTAGCGACGGCCCTGGCAACATTGTTGGTTCATAGATCGTCCGTTCTTCTGCTCTTTCCTGTTATGAGTGTTAACGTTGCATTGCCACGCATGCTTCTGGATTGATCACCTATGACTGACTGTATTTGTCGCCTGACTGCATGAACCGAATACATATACAAGGGCATGGACGAATCCATGGATGAATCCTAGTACAAAACTAGAATTTTACTCTTTTAAAAAGGTTCTAGTATGTACAGTTTAGATACTAATATGGACTCTTAAAGTATTGGAATGTAGCTTTAACATACTAATATGTATCATTTTAGGGGTAAATAAGGTAAAACATGTACCTTTTAGCTTTTGTATCTTATGATACTGCATCTGTGACAGCTTTGTACCTTTTTTCTGAGAGTGTAGTTACAGTTAGAAGCTACTACAGTACTAATACAGGTAATATGGCAGCACTTTAATTTACAGTCCTGTTTCACATGTACATACTATGTACTTATTATAGCAATTACAATACCTAGGTAATAACAAGGTACTGACCTTGAACCTACTCCTAAACCTAACCTTAACCCATGTATTTACCTTATATTACCCAGTACTTTCCGTGGTAAGTACAATATACAGTATGTACATGTATGTGCACGTACTGTTAAAAATAAAGTACAACCGGTAATACTCACAAGATCACTGTTATCTCCAAGTCTGCCTGGGGGTCCAATAGGGCCCTGGTCACCCTGACAACAAAACACAGTCATAACACACTTTTACTAATATTGGCCACACATCGGACATTCTTGTTAACACACAGAAAAATAGGGTTCTAAATCTGATATGTTTCTCATATTTGGTCACTTGATTCTCTTTCTTTAAAGTTCTTAATCAGGTATTTTTCATCAAAACAGTTAAAGTGAGAATAATTGGTGACATCAGCCAAGGAGAAAGTCATTCCAGAGGGGAAGCAGTAACAAGTGTGTCTGTGTCAAATTGCTCAAATCTGTTAGTGGTGTTAAAATTAATAACATTAAACATACAGTATATAATTAATCACAACTGTAAATGTGTTGTTAAAAAAACCTAAAGTTGCATGAAGTCACATGAGAGAATTTTACCACAGTTTGTACACATAATAACCAAGGACAAATGGAATTTACAACATCTGATTTGCAACACATCGCTACTGAAACAAAAACACTCTGTCACTCAAATAGAGTTAACATTTTTCAGAAGAAGTGTAAACAAGGAGGCTTACCGGAAGCCCAGTATCTCCTCTCTTGCCTTTTGGACCTAGAATTGTGTTGTCTATTCCTGGTGCACCCTATTAACGTAAACAGATAATCATATACAGACAAATCAAGTCAGGCTGTTAAGACTGCAAAAAAAAAAACAGCTACTTAAACACAGAGGAAGACCTACAGGATCTCCTCTCAGTCCGCTGTGTCCCTTAGGTCCAGGACTGCCTCTGAAACCCTTCACACCCTAAAAGACAGAAATAGTACTGTGAGGAAGCCACTGGGTTGTTTTTACATTTTTTCCTGCTTTATATTAACAGTGATACGGTAAGTAAACTGCTGTGATCAAACAAAACAGGCATTTATAATGTGTGTGTGATAACGTAGTTACAGCCCTGCCCAGGTCTCCTTTAGGTCCTGGAAGCCCATTTAGGCCAGCATCACCCTGCACACAACAGAAGCATAGTACAGTGAATCAATTGAATGACTCAATAACTCATTTAATTGCAATGCGGTGCTCAACTGAGCAGTTTCATAGGTCACTTATACTGGGTTTAATTTATTGCAGTTTTTGGAAGGTAGCACTTTAATGATATTCCTCAATTTTATACTATATGGTGTGGAAGGCATAACTTCATATTTAATTAAATTTAGGATTTTAATTCTGAGATTTCCAAAATCAGACATGACAGTAGTTGCATTTTCACGCATATTTGAATTGTGTGTATGTGTATTATGAACTTTCTTGCATCCAAATAAGTGTCTATTACCAAAGGTGACTTTGCTTATGTGTTGCTTTACATGCACAAAAACAGAAAACAAGACTCAAACTGATTTACACAGAACGAATGCCTGATTTCCATCTAGATATCAATCTTATTTTTCTGTGCATTTTATATTTTTCTGTTTTTAATATATTTATTTTATACTTCAATATAGTACAATCATTTTCGTTTATGATACTGTGACTATAAGTGTAGAAAAGAGGCAGAGGAGGGAAATAAAGATGTGACCTGTTCTCCATCCACTCCATCCAGCCCATCCTCCCCATCTTCTCCCTGTCAGACAGAGGTCAAAAGGGCCACACACTGTCATGTTTATGGAAGTAATCAACAACCACTGAACAAATAAAACTTGTATAACCCTAAAATAACATCTGCAGCTTGGAAAAAGCAGATCAAAACCTGCCTAATGAAAACAGTTAACTTAAGTGCAAAAAAAATCATTATTCTTAATGAGAATCTGAATGTGTTAGCACCTTTTAAATAAAACATTTCACATTTTTTCCTGTTGATGTGTAAAGCAAGTAAAAAAAAAATATAGCAAAAAAATCATATGACGTCTTAATATCTCACTCAATTTTGCGTCTAATGCAAATTTGAATTGTAACATGTTTATGAATGCCTGATTTCCATCTAGATATCAATCTTATTTTTCTGTGCATTTTATATTTTTCTGTTTTTAATATATTTATTTTATACTTCAATATAGTACAATCATTTTCGTTTATGATACTGTGACTATAAGTGTAGAAAAGAGGCAGAGGAGGGAAATAAAGATGTGACCTGTTCTCCATCCACTCCATCCAGCCCATCCTCCCCATCTTCTCCCTGTCAGACAGAGGTCAAAAGGGCCACACACTGTCATGTTTATGGAAGTAATCAACAACCACTGAACAAATAAAACTTGTATAACCCTAAAATAACATCTGCAGCTTGGAAAAAGCAGATCAAAACCTGCCTAATGAAAACAGTTAACTTAAGTGCAAAAAAAATCATTATTCTTAATGAGAATCTGAATGTGTTAGCACCTTTTAAATAAAACATTTCACATTTTTTCCTGTTGATGTGTAAAGCAAGTAAAAAAAAAATATAGCAAAAAAAATCATATGACGTCTTAATATCTCACTCAATTTTGCGTCTAATGCAAATTTGAATTGTAACATGTTTATTTTTTAAACGAGACAAAGATACAAGTTTAAAAAAAAACTTTTACATTGTTTATGAGGTGTGAATTGAGGTTGTAAAGAAAACAGGAGGACAAACACTCATTAAAGCACTTTTTAGTGTATGGGTCATTCCACGAAATCGGTGCCTGTTGCGTCCCTAAGAAATAATGAAGCATAGAATTAATATAACAATAAATAAATTTGCGATTTAAAAAACATAACAATACTATGTATTCTTTCATCAATATTACATCAAATTAAAGTCAATTAAATATTATTTTAAATAATTTAAATAGTATTTATGCTAATAAGTGTAAGGTTTTTGATGATTTTTCTTTTTCAGTAGGATTTTTAATTGGCAAAAATTATATAAAAATCACATTTGCATATTGTTCTAAATACAGTCTTATTGCTAAGCAATGTTTTTGGCATAAGTATACACTTTCGATAAAATATAAATAATTTTATTGGGGTCCCCTGATTTCATGTCAGCCCTGTTCAAAAAAACACTTGTAAAATAATGGTACATTCAAGTTACATCACTTCTAGGAGGTTACATCATCTCTTAACCAGGATTCCAACACTTAACACAAGCATGTTTCTCTCACTCCTACGGAGCCCCGCACATGACATGCAAAAACAATTAAATAAATCGTACGCACGATTTACTAATTTGTTCCCTCGATGTACTAAAATGTGCACACGATTACTATTTCGTTCCCTCAATTTGCTAAATCGTGCACACAATTTACTAATTAGTTCTCTCGATTTATAAATCGTGTGCACGATTTAGCAAATCGAAAGAACGAATTAGTAAATCGTGCGCACAATTTATAAATCGAGGGAACGAAATAGTAAATCGTGCACACGATTTGGCCTACTATTTTTTTCCTGCATGCCATGTGCGGGGCTCCGTACACTCTTCTATAATGCTCTATTTTTGATGATTTATGAGGCTTGACTGAGGAGGGAACATAATGCAGTGTCAATACTGGTACCATTTTTAAAATGTAAATTTAAACAATTATTCATTACATTTAATATAATCAATATCTTCAAGTAAAATCCTTTCAAAGTGAACAACCTGTGCTTTTGTGAACTTTAACCTTAGCTAGAAATGAGCAATTTATTTCGAAATCATCAAACCTGTTACTGTAAGCCCTGTTACTTTTCAGAGTAAGAGGTTTTGACATGTGGGTAACAGGGATGACAGATTAGGTGTCACCCTGTTTTTAAAGATTGTCTGTGTAAAATGCAAATATGTTTAAAGGTCACCCTGGGTGTATTATTGAGCTAATGCCTATATCATTCAGTGTGGGTGGCATATGAGCGTCAGCTAAATTTTTTGTTAGTATTGTAGGTATTGTTACGATTACTAACAGGGTTGGATGATCCGTCTCAATAAAACTTTTTTTTCCCATTGTCAATAATGCATCCATGTAAATTCATTTACAAACAAGAGCAGCAAGGTGACTGCAGACCCTCACCATCTTGCAACGTTCAAGAAAGTGAAACCAAATTTCAGCATCAAGATCTTGGTCTGGTTTCAGATGATCACAGAAGATCTGATCAGCTTCCTTACCTAATAATTGAACCAGATTAGTATATTTTAAGTTCTGTGAGGGGACACAGACAAACAAATGGAACGCATCTAATTACAATAACCTTAAAACATTAGATATCTTAGAAATGTAATGTGCTAAATTGACAATGAACTGACTGTAACTGAAAAACTGACTGTTTACTATTGTCATACAACTATGCCAAGTAAGTGCAAAACAATATAATGCCATTTAAAATGGTAAAACGTTACAGTATTATGTAAACAACTATCTGCAGTATGCTGAAGTATGTGTGTACTGTCATCCCTGTTACTCTGGTCAGTCCTGTGCCTATGACGCCAATCCTGTTGCTGTCATTAATTTCATAAAAATGTTTAAAAATTATATTTGATACAGCTTTCCAGGTTTTTTCATTGTAACTATATTTTATTTTAGACAAAGCTCTTTTTTTAAATATCTCTCTTGTAAAAATATGTTTTTCTTAATTGACGTGGTCACCTTCCAAAATTACAATGTTCTTGGTCATCTGAATGATAAATATAAAAAAATATATATTTTTTTAAATCCAAAATCTGAAACAATCCCAGTGAAAAGAGGGACTAAAATGCTGCTCGTATATGTGAGAACTATCACATAGTTCTAATTAAACTATAGTATATAGTAACAGGGTTGGCAAAAATACCAAAACATGAGGTATATAAATTGTAATAAATTGCATAGTCTGAGATACACAATACAATTTCTTGTCATTTTAAGGTGTATTCATTTCATGGATATTTAAAAATAAATGTTGATTAAACATTTTATTTTTTAATTTTTCCAAGTTGAAAAGGCACCAATTTTGTGGAATGACCCGTATATTTCTGTCCGAACAGTAACTGTTTAAGTGGGAGCAATAACAGCCAGTAAATAGAATAATAACTCTTGCTACTCACTTTTTTTCCAGTGTAGCCTCTCTGGCCCTATTAAAATAAGATTTAAAATCATTTATTTTTTTACAGCTGTAAAATTATCTCATTTGGTTTAACTGTCTTCATATACAGAAACATTAAACACTGACATAAATATATCCTAGTCATGCAGTTAGTAATAATAATGCTGGTAGCATATACTGTACAGCAGGGGTCCCCAAACTTTTTTTTTTTTTTGTGAGGGCCACATCATTTTTCCTTTCTTTAATGGGGGGTCAGGTCAGTCTGAACAGAAATTACATGGGCCGAAGGGACTACTAGTATTACTGTGGAGAATTTATTATGATTTTAAATGCATTTATTATGCCTCCAATTCCTAGAATAGTTTATTATTTTGTTATGCACCGTACAGACAAATGATCATTACTTTTCAAGAGATATATAGCCTATTAAAAGAGCATTATTACTAGCATAATGACTTTTTTTAGTGCATCTGAAATCAAAACATTTACTTACTTGTGCATTTAAGTAAGTATGCACACTAATTAGTGTGAACTGTGGGCTTGCTTCTGGCTGGTGAGAAGTCCAATGTCAGGTTCCATTCCTGTCACAGCCAGTCTCGACGACTGATCCAATTGTTCATCAGTGAGTTTTCATAAGTTTCATGCATAAAAAGGTTTGCTCACAGATATACGTGCTGCCAAAAAGTGTGGGACATCTTTATTGCATGCCTTTCGATGTTTGGGTATGTCTCATTAGGGATGGCAGCACAGAATTCAATGAGACCGAGGGGCTTAAATGAGCCTTTCAGAACATCACAGTTCTTTAACTCAGCCAACTCAAACTGATAAGAAAGCAGTGCTTCATCAATGTCAGCAGCAAAGGGGTTCTGGAAAAGGCCGATTTCTTTAGCGTGAACATGTAGCTCACGGAATCGGACGTCAAACTCCTCCTTCAGCATTTCCAGTGCTTCCACTGACTTTTCAGCTGGGAATGGGGTCACTGGTTTCTCAGCTGAGAGGCTCTGGGTAACGGGGAGATGAGTGAAGTCTTGCTTTTGCACTTGTCCCACAAGCAGTGCTAGTTTCACCTCAAATGCTTTTATGTGGGAATACATGTGACATATTAGTTTCCCCTTGGAGCTGCAAGTTGAGGCCGTTCAACATTTCTGTTCTAAAGGCGAGGTCCCATTTCCATTCTGCATCGATCGGTTCTTGGACAGTTTTGCCCCTTGTCAGAAGAAAGGCATTGATTGCCTCAAAACTCTACCCCGGCTTAACCATTGGACTTCAGTGTGGTAAAGCACATCTCTGTGAGCAGACTCTAGCTCGGAGAGAAAGGCTTGGAAACTGCTGGTGTTTAAGTCTGATGAAGTTTATACATGACACCACCACCTTCACGTTCCGATTCCCACTTCAGAACTTTGCAGCAGAGTGCTTGCTAGTGAATCAGGCAGTGGACATGTAACGGGGGGTGAGACCTCTTTCCTCCAATTCTCTATTCATGCATCCTATAAGCCTCCTCGATGTGCCAACCATACTAGGAGCCCCATCAGTAGTAATGCTGACCAGCCTAGACCAATCTAGACACAGCTCTTCCATTGTTTGGCAAACCAAAAATATCCTCCCCTGTCGTAGTGCCTTTTAGACTTTGTAGGGCTGCCAGCTCCTCGGACACTTCAAAGGTTGAATTAACTCAGCAAAGAAAAATTTGCAGCTGTGCTGTGTCCTGCACGTCATTGCTCTCATCCAGTGCTAATGCAAAAAATTCAAATTCTTTCTCTTCCTCCTGCAGCTGGGCATATACATTACCCCCCATTTCTTCAATTCGTCTGGTGATTGTACATGCGAACAGACTCACCACATTTTAGACATCTTTCTTACTGGGGCACACCTCCTCCGCAACAGCAATCATACATTTCTTGACAAACTCGCCGTCACTGAATGGCCTACAGCTGGTTGCAATTAGTTTAGGTACCTGAAAGCTATCTCTAACGGATGACTGGGTTTGGTGTACAAATGCATTCTTTGAACAAAGACACTGTTTCTTAACAGATGAGACAAACAGCCAACAAAAAAATAATCACTTGTCCACTTTTGGTTAAATACCCTGCATTCTGAATCAACCTTTCTCTTTCCCAACCATTTGGCCATTTTGTTATCTCTTTGAATTTTCTAGCTGGCTCATGCATCACCTGTTTTATCGCGATGGTACATTATGTTTGTCACGAATCCGGTCCATGAACTTCCAATTTCATTGACTCTCGCACTACACACTGTTGCACATCACCCCGGACTACATTTCCCATCATTCATTGCACTGATTGCACTCAGCACGGATTGCACACAGCTGTTTACACTGATTGCACACAGCTTTTTCACATCCCTCCCTCACTATTTAACACTCACTCTGATCCCTTCCCTCTGCCGAGTATTGTCTAGCGATTATCACTCTCCTAGCGATAGCTACTCTACAGAGCCCTAAGTCGTGCCTTAGCCTTAGCCTAGTTCTGCCTTGCCTTGTCTGTTTCCTTCAGTTTCTATCTTAGCCTTAGCCTTAGCCCTAGCCTTAGCCTTAGCCTTAGCTTAGTTTTGCCTTGCCTTGTCTGTCTCCTTCGGTTTTGATCTTCGCCTGTTTTCCTGGACTTCTCCCTTTAGCCTTGCCCCTGTGACTCTGTCTGCCTATCGTCGACCCATGCTAGCCCTAGGATTATTCTTGTGTCTTGCCCGCCATATTCCTGGTTGCCACTGTTTCCCCTGCCTGTCTTATGACCATGTCTCTGTCTTCTCCAATTAAAGCTTTGCATTTGGATCCGCACGTCTCACGTCTCGTCAGCCCCGTTACAGAATACTCGGCCACACAAGGATCCAGCGGCTTTTTCAGTGGACTGTGGCCAGTCTTGTCTATCAACCCCAATGTTCTGTCTGTGTTGTCTGTCTCTGCTCTCTCGTTGTTACAGTCTCCGCCATGGTCTCCTGATCAGTGTGGTTCACCAGGGGGGTTTCCTGTTCCCTCTGCTCCGCCGTGGTGGTCCTCTGCGCTGCCGTGGTGGTCCTCTGCTCTGCCGTGGTGGTCTACCGTCTGGTTCTGGTGGGTCTCTGCTCTGCCATGGTTGTCCTCTGCTCCACCGTGGTGGTCTACTGTCTGGCTCTGGTGGTCCTCTGCTCCGCCGTGGTGGTCTACTGTCTGGCTCTGGTGGTCTTCTGCTCCGCCGTGGTGGTCTTCTGCTCCGCCAGGGGGTTCTTCGCTTCCATCTGTTCTGCTGTGGTGGTCCTCAGCTCCACCTGTGCTGCCGGCTCCGCCCTGGCTCTCTGCTCCGCCGGTTCTGCCTCGGTGCCCGGTCTCTCCACTTCCAGGTGGCCTTCCATCCCTCCCACTGTTCCGCCTCCACTCCACCGCCCTCCGGAATCATAAAGGGTTTTGAGCGTCTGGAAGCCGCTCCTTGGGGGGGGGCTCTGTCACGAATCCGGTCAACGAACTTTCCTATTCATTGACTCTCGCACTACACACTGTTGCACATCACCCCGGATTACATTTCCCATCATTCATTGCACTGATTGCACTCAGCACGGAATGCACACAGCTGTTTACACTGATTGCACCCAGCTGTTTCATATCACTCCCTCACTATTTAACACTCACTCTGATCCCTTCCCTCTGCCAAGTATTATCTAGCGATTATCACTCTCCTAGCGATAGCTACTCTACAGAGCCCTAAGTCGTGCCTTAGCCTTAGCCTTAGCCTAGTTCTGCCTTGCCTTGTCTGTTTCTATCTTAGCCTTAGCCTTAGCCCTAGCCTTAGCCTTAGCTTAGTTTTGCCTTGCCTTGTCTGTCTCCTTCGGTTTTGATCTTCGCCTGTTTTCCTGGACTTCTCCCTTTAGCCTTGCCCCTGTGACTCTGTCTGCCTATCGTCGACCCACGCTAGCCCTAGGATTATTCTTGTGTCTTGCCCGCCATATTCCTGGTTGCCACTGTTTACCCTGCCTGTCTTATGACCATGTCTCTGTCTTCTCCAATTAGAGCTTTGCATTTGGATCCACACGTCTCACGTCTCGTCAGCCCCGTTACAATGTTGAACGTACCATTCTGTTGGTAGGTGAATTTAAAAAAACAATTAGGCTACGTTAATAAATAAGGGAAATTTTAGTTTGAAAGCCAGCCTTTATCATTAAATACAGACATGATATAAGTAAAACATACAGTATATTTAAAATATGACTCTGGCATTTTCCAGAGGGCCGGTCCAAATGTGGGGGTGGGCCGCATTCGGTCCGCGGGCCGTAGTTTGGGGACGCCTGATATACAGTATCTATCCCTAAAAACATTACTTCAGTCACAGTTAATGTATGAATGTGTTTGAACCGCTATTTGATTTGTTGATTAATCTGATTTTAAATTATTACTTCTTGAAAGTAAAAACAGAAAAAGTACCAGCTTAAAGTTCTATTTACAAGTGGTGTAAGAAGCACTATCTTGCCATACTAAGATAAATCCAGAAATTCCAAGCAGAACATTGCACTGATACAAACAACATCAAGAGATGCATCTCCAATGATAATCGAATGTTACATTACCTTGATTCCTCTGTTTCCAGGGCAACCTTTATGTCCCGTAGTTCCATTCAGCCCTGGTGATCCTTGCTCTCCCTGTCAGAGCCAAGATGGGAGATAGATTATTGATCCTTGGCATATACGGCATACATCCTCTATAAAACATGTGTATCCTGTCTTATCCGGAATCAGTGTTATTTACATTCAGCATGCACACACTGAATGTAAACAACGCTGATTATGTTCAGCAAAAGCACGTGCATGCTCAACGTAAACAACGCTGATAACGTTCTGAGGTATTCTCCAAAATGGCGGAAGACGGTAACTCGGGAGAATAATTGTTGAGTAAATTATCTTATTATTGTTTTCTTTGCGTACAAAAAGTATTCTCGTAATTTCGAAAAATTACGGTTGAACCACTGATGTCACATGGACTATTTTACCGATGTCCTTGCTACGTTTGTGGATCTGGGAACATTGCGGTTGCATTGCTGTCTACGGAGGGCTCTCAGATTTGATCAAAAATATCTTAATTTGTGTTCTGAAGATGAACGAAGGTCTTACGGGTTTGGAACGGCATGAGGGTGAGTAATGACAGAATTTTCATTGTTTGGTGAACTAACCCTTTAAGTACATGTAAGCTGACAGTTTCACTTACCATACTACCTTCATCTCCTGGAAATCCAGGATGGCCGTTCTGACCAGTAAGGCCCTGAATAAAAGAAAAACAGGGATGCTGACACATAAAACCTGAATTTCTTTAAGGCATCATAGCCATGTTCCAGATGTGAAGGCCATTCAAAAATCATACTGCCTTTTAAGATACCTAATTTTAGTTAAATTCTAAAGTAGCAATGCATTTATCTTTGGCATAATGACAAAATGTGTCAAGCTTAGTGAGAAAAAAAATCCATCCAATAGAATCAAAGCGAGAAAGAATAGTAAATCCACAATATTTATTTTCTATTCTCTTGAGGGGCTTTGACCTTTTGCCCTGCACTTGCAGGGGGTCCTCGTGGTCCAGGAACACCGGTGCATGAACAATGTACATCACAGCATTTCCTCAGTGCCACTGTTTCCTGAGGGGAGAGAAAGGCGCACAATGAGTGAAACGGTTTGTTTTTTGTTGCTGAAGTCCCAGGCCATGCATCCAGTCGAATTGTTGGGTATTTTACTACAAATGTATCCGTCACTTGGTAGTATCTTGAAAAATTAAACAGGTGACATTCCTGAAAACTATAAACACATCAACAAAAGTCACAATCCAGACTAGTTTAAATATTTGTCCAGTTGCAATGGTTTGTGTTGATTTATAATCTGCAAAGAGCATCTGGAAATCAAAGATGTTCATAATATTAATGTTAATAAACATCAATATTAGATGAATGTACGATTAACAATTTTGTGTGCAATTTAAAAATCATTTATTTATTTAATGAAAAAATAAATAATAAAGCTTACAACACTATTTTATCACGGGAAATGGCAATGAAAAGCACAAAATAAAATGTTAGTTTCAATACAAGATTTCTTTCAGAACAGCTGCTGTTGAACAGATGGTGTAAAAAAAAAACTGCAAACTGCAGCTTTGTTTATTTTGAGTAAACAGCACCTTTAAGCATTGTTTTGATACTTACAACCTGTTTCATAAGATCGTTGCCTAAATTTAGCATGTTGACGGTCAGTGGCTGCATGTAGCCGAAACCTCTGCCAAATTCCAGCTGGTGAACATCCATTATTCCCTCCAAAGACACAATCAGCAGTGCGCTGACTCCTAGTTTACACATTAGACATAAGCACACATGGGTTTAATACAGAGTAACTATAAAGGAAATAGATCAGGGTCACAGTCTTTGACTTTTTGTGGAAGAAATGTCCACAAAAAAGGCAGGGAAAACATGGCACAGGCACACATGGGAGCTACTTACACAAGACTATAAAGATAATAAAGATAAAACCTAGTGTTTCCAAATCAAACAAAACAAGTCGGTTTCACTTTATTTTGATGGTCCCTTTAACACATTCTGTTGCCTAAAAGTAACGTTGCACCAACATGTCTACTAACTCTCAGAGTGTTAGTAGAGTATTAGCAGACAGGTAGAGTTAGGGTTAGAATTTTAGAAAGTTGACGTATTTGCAAAAGTTACCTATAGTCAGTAGAATGTCTTTTGGGAGACCATCACAATAAAGAGTTGGCAGATATTAAGCAGACAGTCTACTAATATGACAGTTAGTAGACATGTAGGTGCAAAATTACTTATAGTCAACAGAATGCTCAAAAGGTACCATCAAAATAAAGTGTTACCAACAAGCCGATATGCAGTTGTATCCTTTTACAAAATGTTTTAAAGTTCTGTACACACACACACGGAATCTCTCTAGTGTAGGTTTGGGTGGACCAATCTTGAAATACTTTGCAATTACTCCGATTTTTATGGTTCAGCGATAAATGTCAGCGGAGGTAGGAAATTCAGAGCTCCGTGTTGGCTTTTTCAAATGGAATGTTAACATAAGTCATAATTCCTTCTCAGGAACTCCATACGCCTTGCTCAACCCCAAGTTGAGAATTCAAGATGGCTGCTCCCTACATGAAATGTAAGTGAAAGTTATAGATAGCCTACTATAATATTTAGAAAGCTTCTGTTATATTCCAGTGTCTTATACACTCATTACATATCTGTGAACATGTTGCTATGGTGTATGTGAGTGTCTGCGGTTACAAAATGTAGTGTAATGCTCAGTGTTTGCTAACACTGCTAATGCTAACAGTGAATGAACTACATTACATTCTTTATGACTTCTCTGCTGGAACATGGAACACTTGGGTGTGACGTCATTCCCACGCAAATTAAATGCAGCAAATGTGTGGACTGTGAAAACGGAAGTATCCGAAAACAATGATGCATGTCAAGCCATGTGATATTGTACCCATAGATATCTATGATTAGGTATGCACCGATACCACGCTCTTATACTCATATTCATAAAAATGCTCCAATACCAAATGCCAAAGTGTGAACAGTACTGTGTCCAGACAAAGAAACCCCAACAACCGAACAACAAAGAGCAGAATGGAGTTATTAGAGATTAAGGCTGTCTATGAAGTACATGTATGTAATTAATATAATGTTAAACATTCAATATTCACACCTGTATAGCTGACGTGCGCAAGCTGAGAAGTAAAACATGCTGAGTGGATTGAGTGTGTGGCAGCACAGATGTGTGAACTTGAGTGAATATTCCTTTCTCTCAGACACATCACTTGAAAGTTTGTACTTCGGTCGGATATGTCAAAAGCAAGTAAGTTAAACAATGCACACGTTACTAAAGTTACTTGACGGTAAGGAGAGAGAGCGAGTGAGTGCGCACACTTCTGTTGCATGATCTTGATTGCTGTTCACTCACTTAGCACACACATCATTTGGATTAAAACTAAATCATAAATATAGAACAAACTAAAATTATAGAGGCAATCATTATAGACAACATTTATTTTAAACGTCAAGCATACACAACTTTATTTAAAATTAAAGTGAAGCTAGCAGCCTGTGTGAAATAGCTAGACTATACTGTACATTTCTCTCTCACGCACGTTGTGCGTGTTTTGCTTGCTTGACGTTAATTTAATTATATGAGTGGCTTTGGAATAAAAAAATTTAATAAAAAATTTGACTTAAATTTCAGAAAATATGTTCATTGCTGTTACAAGATTTATGTATAACGAGTGGATCTCTGCATTATTACAGGAAAATATCTTGTGAATACAGTACTGAGCCGCTGCAATGGAACTAAAGATGAAATACGAGAGAGCAATAAAAATGAACAGTGAAAGAAACAAAAGCTTGTACAATACATTTTAATGGAATTAATTAAGTGTGAAAATAACTGAAGGAAATATCTATTTGCCAAATGAACTGAGCCAGCTAACATTATTTATATTCTTTTGGTTTCTGTACCCAGTATTTTTAAAAAATTACAAATGTAATTAAAATACAGGTATCAGTACTCATTATCAGCAAGTACCAAAAATAAAAGTATCAGTATCTGCCTCGTTCTGGAAAAAGTGGTATCGGTGCATCCCTATCTATGGCTGTACCATACTGTTGTGCCTGCTATTCATTTTCACAGTGCTGTTAAAGATAAATGTTACTTTGTACTTAATATCACATTACTCTTAATATTACATTCCTGCAAATATGACAGGAATTTTACACCCAATGGCTGTTCTGCGGCAAAACACAACTATTGCGCATTTGAATATATGGAATAGCATTTTTGAGTGTGACCTGGGTGCCCCAGCAAGTGGTGGGATATTTTGCTAATAAAGTTTTAACTTTATTATGTCTAATCTCTCAGTATACCTCAGAGAGCTTACATTTTACACATATGCAGTAAGGTGATTTAAGCGTTTTCAGACATTTCAATGTGAGCAAACAACTTTTTGAAACCTCTTGAAAACACTAGAGTGGACAAAACGAAAACACCGTTTTCAAATCTATCCAGATTAATGTGGACGTAGCCAAAGACATCACTTACCACTTTCCTTAAGTCTCCCTGAACTCGCCATTAAACGCTGAATGTTATCATCTAGCCCATCTGTGAAGATTATCAAAACCTAGACACAAACATATGATTAAATGCCAGGGAATTGTGAATACTGTTTTCTGAGTACCATGAAGTACCATCAAAAAACTAAAAAAGTACACTACTGAGCTGAATCTGATTTCCCAATCATGTTTGCCTGGCCACTTCCATCTGTTGTCATTTACAGTCTGTTGTAAATCCTGCTGCATAATAGGAAATTTGCATTTTTAAATTCATATTTTTCCCAATAGTGCTCTTACTGATGCAATTTCATCTTAAAGCATCATGTTGGGTAAAATATCATGGCAAACAGGCAAGTGTATAGTATTGAATTGTTTGCGAAAATGATAGTTCAACATTTCTTATGAAAGCGTGTCAGTAAAACCTCATAAAATCAATTAAAATAATGCAAAATCGTTTGAAAATAACAACAGCAGAGGTGCTCGTTTAATTAAGGGAACATTAACATAAAGAATATAATATATAGTTGACAATCATGTTGATGGTTAATTTTCTATCTCAACAACATTCCAAACTTTACCTTAACACTGGAGGAGGCAAACATTTCTCTGAAGGATTCTAACAGGAACTCGTTGAAAGCCAGGGGCGCCGTAGGTCGCAATAACATCACTTTCTTGACCACATCCTCCTTGTACTCCTCAAATCCCAAATTTTCCAGAACACTCCCATCGCGTCCAGACACAAGCCTATAGCCAAATCTAGTTGTAATATTTTCCTTTTCAATGCAGCATAGATCACCCATCACAGAGATACGGTGAATGGCTGCAGTAACCAACTGTTCCACCTGAGGTGTCAACAGAGTTTCCGTGATTGTTCGTCTGGACACGTCAAACCCAAAGGCAATGTCAATATCGCAACCTGTTTTAACAAAACAATGGATCTCAATCTTCAAGAAAGGGTATAGACAAAATATTATAGATTTATGAAAGGATATTCCAGACTACTTCCGAAAGGGAATTGCAAGTTTTATTTTCAGTTGTGTTTTCCATATGCGAACACATTAATTGTGACATAATTTAAATGCAATTGTAAACGCAGAGTAAAAGTAGCAGCATTTTCTGTATGGTCACATGCATCAATCGGAGTGTCAACAGTGAGAGATCTTGAGACAGATTAAAGTGTTTGGTTAATGGTGAATATTGACATACAGTATTGTGCGTACCGTTGTTGCTCCCGCTGTTAGCAGGGGATAATCGCTGCATTTGGGGTAAAAACAATGGAATTGTTTAAGGTGCTAAAGAATAAAAGGAGACCAGGGTTGCACTGTCTGTTCATTCACATGCATCTATCAGACTAGCAGCTGCCTTTAGCAATGCCTTATTACCGCCATTGTTTTAAGCATTCGGCACAATCATCTGTGAGTGACGTCACTTCCCAATACACACACGCCACAATAGTCCCACCCCTGGCACTGACTGGTTTTCGTGTAAGGGATCGGAAATTCAAATGCTAAAGGAATTGCAATTCCATTCGAGTTTTGGCAGGTTACATGCGTGACACAGTGTGAAAAAGCAGATGCAAGGCCGGTTCTACAGGAACAAGCCAACAAGCACCCTCAAACATTTCATTGTAGATTTGGCAAACTATCCATTATGGTATGGTTTGCGCTCTGGAGATCGGTTTCTATTTTAATGTGTTTTGCAGTGATGAGCAATAGCCAATCTGGTGATTTCTTGTGTGCAACAGTCAATCAGAGGCATTTAAGAATCCACTCACCACTCAAATCTGAGTTTTTGCAGGTGTTGTGTTCAGTACAAATCATCTCATTATAACAAACTGTAGGCACAGTGTAAATAAGAGATTCACTGTGCAGCGTAGAGACCTTCATTGATTATAATGTAACTTTGTGAGATTGCGATGAACTAAGATGAGTGACAGCTTTTTAGTGATTATAAACAGAGTGCTCTTTGCACAATAGCAATAGACGGCACTAAAACCTTTATATAACCTATATTAAGGTTAAAGCATACTTACTAATTTAAGAAGCACCCTTAGCGATTTGATTCTGAGCCGGGCCTGAGCAGACGTGGTAATTAATATTGCTAATTATTGCTATGACAGGCTCATAACAGGCAAGACATGGGAAATACAGTTGCAAATGGACTTTGCTTTTCCATTTGATATTTGGCAGTCACTGTGTGTTCACGAAAGTGAAAACGCAAATGGTAATGCAAGATTTGCAATTCCTTTCGAAAATAGTCCAGAATATCCTTCCCATATACATCATTATCATAAATGCAAATGCATAAATATTATACTCTATATGTACACTCCTCAGTATATTACCATGTTAGTTTTTTTTTTAACAAGGGATTCTTCAAGTCACTTAATCTTCTACTATCTACAGGTGATTAAAAAAATAGATTAATCTAATGGATATTAATATTGTGTCTTTTTAGGGCATAGAAATC